TGCGTGCGTGCGTGCGTGCGTGCGTGCGTGCGTGCGTGCGTGCGTGCGTGCGTGCGTGTGTGGTCGATTTTGGACGCGTACCAAACCTATAAGTTATTGGTCGGAGGAAACTCGCAATAGAATTGTTACTGTGTCAGGCACCGTGTAGTACATTTCCCCACTTGGTTCAAAAGTAGAGCCGGACATAGCTCTATAACTATAGCCCTTCGCTCCTTCGCAGGAGCGAAGGGCTATAGTTCTAGAGCTAAGCCAGACACATGAACGAAACATTCGTTATCAGGCAAATAATTCAGCAATTGCTTACGTATGGATTGCAAGTTTAATGAAACAGCAGCTAACCTGTTACCAGTGACACCAAGCCATACCAGTGCTATGCTATATATTATGCAGCGCTATGTCAGCATGCCGATGCTGATTTAGAGTTTATAGTATATACTGATTCCAGGACCGTTATTTGTGAGTCAAATTCAATCCGCCAAAGTGCAATGAAAGTGCGAATAAATGTATGAGTTCCTGGTTACGTGTATTGATGTAGCAAAATCTAATTTACGCTTATATGACAGAAGTGAAAACTGATGTAACCTTGACACTAATGATAACCCCGACCCTAAACCTTACTTCAGCCTAAAAACTATGTATGTGCTTATGATCGGAATCAGTATTTCGCTATAGTTTTACCTAGTGTGTATATAAACAGAAAATGAATTAAAATTTAATTTGCCACGCACAGTGATGTAATGCAATCTTGCATTATAATGCGGATCTGTAACTGATCTGAATTAATCTGTGCAGGTTTTGTTCAAAGTACAAGGTAAATTTATGACGAGATAAAGTAAAATATTCACCACTGCGTGACGAATTCACAGTATGCTCTCTGCCTTGAAAGGCACAGCTGGGTCCATAGAGGATTCAGTTACATATCTATTCAGAAATTCTGAACGCAGAATATCAGCATGCATTGTTCACGATGTGCGATTACTGGATTTATGTATATCCATGCGCATACATTCAAAAGCAAGGTTTATCCAATCTAGGTGAATGCAGGCAAGGATTTCTGCTGAGTTGTTCGCTGGGCACGTTGTAGTGTAGCTGCTACATACACTGGTGTGTCAGGGGCGGATCCAGAGGGGGGGTTGAGGGGGTCCGGACCCCCC